AAGTGCATGGTGAGCGGACACTTCACCTCCGTGTTTGCAGACAGCCGTTTTTTTTCTGAATGCACCCAAAAACCGGGTTTCCGATTTCGTGCGGACTGTAGTCCAAAATGTATGGATGAATATTTTTGACGGAGAAGGGGCAATGAAGCCCCGGACACTTTTCCCCTTCTCCGTTGCAACTAAGGGGAAAAAAGGGCCCGAAGCGCCAAAGGGTTGAGCTTTTTTCGGGCCCCTTCTCTGTTGGCACTTATGGCGCGTTTCCACTACAGCGCGGAGCACGGTTTAAGAGGGCTGTGACGTCAGCGGCCCGTTTTTGGTTGCGTTTCCACTTGGCCTAGTACCGGCCGGCGGGTCCTAATTCACAGTTTTTCTGGCCTCATAAAATCGTGGGTCTAGGGCCAGAGACAACCGGGCTGAGTGTGTGACGTCAACACTCTCGGCAAACAGCTGTGGGGCGAGTTGAAAGTACATTATATGCTGGCCGCGGTGTCTAAATAATGCTTCCGGGCCAGCGGGCCATTTATAATGTCGAGCCCTGAGAGTCCACAGATTATATTGGTATACGTTTCATCCCTATGCGATCAAAACTCACTGTTCAATAAAAGAACATTTTACCTTGAAAATCAATGCATTCTAATAGCGGGTCAATTTGACCCAGGTGGCGGTTTTAGGTATAAAAAATCTCTGGCGATTCTAGTGTTAAAGGGAAGGTTTCAATGCAAAATAGGTTCCTTTAAATGGACACCAACATATTTCCGCAATGCATTGACATTTGGAGCTGATATTTGAACGGTGATATATAGGCCACCATATGATGTATTGGTGTGAAAATTCAGACATTTGGACAATGTCAAATATTTATAAACTCGCAGGGATTACAAACGTGACAGATGGTACCCGCTGTAGCACACCCACACAGTTTGGGGTCCAGGCACACTTGTTTACCCTTTTAAAGCGCGTTTCATCATAAATACAGTTTTGTTTTATTTTTCCCAAGTGCAGCAAAGATATTACATGGTCTTAGAGCTCCCCCTACTGGAAAATGTAATTTTTGCCTTTTGTGTCCACTTGACGACGTTATTGCCAGTGGCTGGAGATTTGGCCATTGATTTGTACATGGAATTGACGTCTCAATGCAGTTGAGAGGATATTTGTACACATGTGGGAAAGATTTCATGTTAACTCTGTCCATAAGGAGGTATCTTCCCTTACTCACCATCTTACCCTAAGCCTAACCCTAACACTTTTATTTTAAATTGTATAATATCTGAGTTTTTTTGCCATCCGCGAGGAAAAGAATTGGAGCTCAGAGTCTCAGAATACTGAAATCTGTATTTTTTTAAATCTTTTTTTCCTTCTAATTTGTTATTATTTGGTGCGAAAATCGTGTTGGTGAACACAAATCAATAGATTCATTTCCTGACTATAACACGAAATGCCGTGAGACTGTGTTGACTGTGTATGTGCGTATTCCACTGTAGCGCCCGGTACATTAATGGGAAACCCTAAATGTTTGACCACACCCTCTATGTAAATAGTTTGTACATGTTCAATACTGTTGGGGAATAATTTCCCCTGCATGTCATCTTTCGCCCTCTGACGCAGATGCCCAGCCTTGAGCAGCCGTTATCTCCCTTAAGGAGGGGCTGCCCTAGCATTTTGTTGTTGTTACGAGTTTATGACCGGGCAACTCTCGGTTAGAGATAGTTATTGTTATGGGACACTTGGAACACATCCTTCTCGGGGTGTAGATGACCCCGAGCCATAAGCGACAACAAATGTGATTCAGTGTCCCTCAGCTGTTTAGTCTATCTATTGCACAATGTTGATTATTCTCTCAGAACTAGCTAAATACATGGTCTGGGGTAGAGTTCTTCTGAATTTATTGTGGCATCTCAACCGTGTGGTCAAACCGTGGCCCGTGAAATGTCTTGTGAATTCTCCGGCCGAAGCTCCAAATAAACCGTCAGTGCCATCAAAGCTCCAGCTCCCCTCGTGTCTCTCTGAGTCCTGACTCCAATTGCTTCAGAAGTTTCCCCCACAAATACATTTGTAACACTGTACACATGAAAGTTTCTCTTTTTTTTTTGTGAACTCAAAGGTTGGCCTGATTATTATTTTCATAATTATAAAAAGCTAGCTCACTTAAAGGGGACCTATCATGCAAAATGCACTTTTGTACGTCTTTTATACATGAATATGTGTCCCCGGTGTTCCAGGGAACTCACCAAGTGTCAGAAAACACAACCCTCTCTATTTTCCTCCATACCCAAATCTCTAAAAAAGGGGCTGCAACGGATCTGATAAAAACTGATCCAGATTTGAACACTGTCCTGACGTCAGGACGGTGGCAGTGTTGTAGTCAAGTCACCAATTCACGAGTCCAAGTCACTCTCGAGTCACCACTCTTCGAGTCCGAGTCCAAGTCCGAGTCACCAAGGGAGAGTCGTAGTCGAGTCCGAGTCCAAGTCCGAGTCACCCAAGGAGTGTCCGAGTCGAGTCCGAGTCCGAGTCATCACTACCTGTGTTCGAGTCCGAGTCCAAGTCTGAGTCACCCAAGGAGTGTCCGAGTCGAGTCCGAGTCCGAGTCATCATTACCTGTGTTCGAGTCCGAGTCCAAGTCCGAGTCACCTAAGAAGAGTCCAAGTCATGTCCGAGTCACAAGTCTTCATGTATTAATCTTCGTGGATATATGTGTTGAAATGTAGCTGCTCCTCTACATTGCTTTTATCCTGTCATGTTATACTAATCTGTCTATTGAACTGCTGTGAAGCCAGTTTGGCTACAATTCTTGTAATAGGTGCTATACAAATATAAAGCTTATTACTAATATTAATATTATTATTATATATAAATAAACTATATTTAAAATTAGTTACCTTTTAGAGAAGTGATTATATTTGTATGCCAATATTTTCCTATGGTAAAGTTTTCGTTTTGCACTTTTATTTTGATAGTAATAAGATCGGGACTCTTATTTTGAAGGAACTTTTACCGGTTAAATCGGTTTACTGATAAAGATTTAGCCCCAGAAAGCACATGGCTACTTGGCATGCAAAATAACGTCATTCTGCATGTTAAGTAGCCATGTGCTTTCGTGTTATCGGCTGAATCTTTATTTATTGATTAGATCACGTTACTCTGATGATAGTGTTCAAGACAGTCTATATGTCTGAACTCGATGTTTAGAGTAATGTGTTACGGAGCCTTCTCTTCAATATTGTTTCCACATAAAGAGTATTTTGCGCTGCTCTTTTCCAATGTGGAAGCAGAATCTGTGAAAGCATACAGCACGATGCGGGGTGTGTCTCTAGACATCTTTAGACTGGGATAGCGGGGCCCAGTACGTGAACTCGCCTCGCAGCCGGTGCACACGCCAGGATAGAGGACATCAGACTCCATAGAAAACTTGCTCGAGTCCGAGTCCAAGTCGGAGCGTCAATGTACAAGTCGAGTCCGAGTCATCGTGGGGGGAAAAATTCACGAGTCCCGAGTCCGAGTCCAAGTCAGTGTACGCGATAATTCACGAGTCCGAGTCCGAGTCCAAGTCATCGTGCGCGAGAATTCACGAGTCCAAGTCCGAGTCGCGTCAATCAGTGCGCGAGTCCGAGTCGAGTCACGAGTCCCGAAAATCGGCACTCGAGTCCGAATCCAGGACTCGAGTACTCCATCTCTGGACGGTGGCGCTATGGCTATTGGGCCAACTCCACCAATCAGGAGGAGACAGCCACGGCCATTGCCGTTCGAAAGCGCTGGAGACGCTGTAGTACATATGCCAGGCCTGTAGGTGGTGCTGTTCTCACAGAATCAGCCCTTGCAAAAACAGGGCTAAAAAAGTGCAAATTGAGCGAAATGAGGCATGGCTAAAATGCATGATCTGTTTGGTATTTTGAAAAAAAAAAAGTATAAATATGCCTTATATAGGTATGGTCCTACACTATATTATTATAATACAGCATGATAGGTCCACTTTAAGCTTTCTGTTTTACTAGTCTAAAGCATGTCAGGCTTTACAGCAGTAATTTTGGGAACTTACATTACTTGTTTTTGATTTTTCAAACAAGCTAACGACCATTAGCTATCTATCAAGCTAGCCAGCCATAGTTAGCTATCTACTTAAAAATCTAGCTCACTTAAACTTTCTGATTTAAAAGTTAGCTTTAATACTTTTGGGTAAGACAAAACAAATCTATCAGGCTATCATACTCGTTTTTTATTTTTCAAACAAGCTAACGGACATAAAATATCTAGCTAGCGATCGACTACTTAAAAAGCTAGCTTGCTGCAGCTATCTAAATAGTTAGCTTTCTTACTTTGTTGGACAAAACTAAAATATATCAGGCATTAAAGGTGAGGTAGGTAAGTTTGAGAAACCGGCTCGAGATCGCAAGAATTTGAAAATACACAACCGGAGAAAATCTGCCACTTCCTTATAGAGCCCCTCCTCCAACACACACGAACGCACACATGACCAATGAGGGCACGAGATAAGTTTGTGCACAGATGGAAGGCTGACGGGCAGGTAGGCCATCCAGTTATTTTAGCCGGGCCGGCTAAAATGATTGGTCGTACTTTTTACAGTATTACGGCTTCCACAGATGAAATTTTGTGCTTGTCAAAGCACTTAAGATATTCATTGCTATCGGGATGTTAAGAGCATTCCATGGAATATAACAAAAAGTGTGTCTCGAGCCGGTTTCTCAAACTTACCTACCCCACCTTTAAAGGAGTAATTCAACAGTTTGATGACTATGGTTAGCCTAATACTTTTCTTCCTTTTTCATCAGAAAACATATCAGCATATTTTCAACATTTTGAGTCTTTGAATCTTAAAAGATCTTTTAGAAATCTATCTGTCTTCTTTCAGTTATGTCCATATTTAGCTTGAGAATATGGTTTAACTAGACCCTCAGTAAGATCTGAACAATGATTGGAAATTCAAACATGAAGTTGTCTTTTAAATGATTTTTATTTAAAATCTTTCTTTACACACAATTCAAAACAAAGGATAAACACATTTTTAAAATGAGACTGAATTCATTAAATAGAAAAGTAGAACCAAACATAAAGATCAGAAATAATTTGACAGATGTAAAGCTCGACAATAGAAAAATAAACTAAATTACATTACATTTAATTTAGCTGACGCTTTTACCCAAAGCGACTTACAATAAGTGCAATAAAGATAAAAATTCAGAACAACAAGAATCATGCAGGTATGTTAGCCAAGAATTGCAGATTTTAGTGTATTTTTGGCAAAAAAACACCTCTAAATCACAACAAAGAGTAAATGATATTTTGAATACACAGCAATTCACACAAGTGTAATAAAATGAGCCTATCTTTGGCATAATTCTACAGCAGGTTCAAATTGATAAGTTACATTCAGTGACTGATCCATTAAAGGAAATACACAACATAATAAACACAAACAAACTCTTTATTTCTATCTCTTCTGTTCCATTGTCACACACACCTTCAGTGGTGATATATTCACTTCATTTGCAGTGTTAATGATTGGAAACATCCTCTCAGTGAAAGTGTGTGTGAAGGTGTGTATGTGTGTGTTAGTGTCAGGATCAGAGAACGACAATTTTCCTCTGTTCCAGTCCAGATTCACTCTGACCCTCTGGAGCTTCTTCTTCAGGCTGAGAGGAGTGTCTGAACCTAATGGTGACCATGCTGCGTATTCACCTTTATAGAATGCTAGTCTCCATAATCCAGACTCTATGCGTCCCTTCCTCTGGAAAGACTCTTCTGACACACCCAGTACCCAGTATGTACTGTCTGTAACCTGGACATCCCAGCTGTGAATCCCTGAGTTAAAGCCCTCACAGCCCAGGACACAGCGGTGATGATCAAACCTCTCTGGATTATCAGGAAGTTTCTGTCTCTCTCCTCCTAGTCTCACACTGGTCAGATCTTCAGACAGGATGAGTAATGGACTAGCAGTGTTTGGGTCCAGGATGAGAGGAGAGTAGGACACCACGTCCTTCATCTTGCTCCAGATGTTGAAGCTGAGGTTGCCCAGGTGTTTGGCCTGGTCTATCAGAGCTCCTGAGGGCAGCTGTGGATCTTCCAGCAGGGGGCGCTGCAGCCTCTCCACTGCAGCCTTGTAGTTGTGCAGGAAGGAGACGTCTTCAGCTCTCAGCTCCTCCTCTGTGGCTCTGACTGTGTGTGAAAGAGCTGCTATCTCTCTGCTCACAGCCTCCATCTTCTCCTCCATCATCCTCCTCTTCTGCTCCTCTTCCTCCCTCAGTGCAGCCATCCTGGCCTCCTCTTCCTCTTCTAGAAACTGGTGAAGCTTCTTAAACTGCTCCTTAATCTGCGTCTCTGTGTGTTGAGCCTGGACCTTCATGTGTCCTGCTGTTTGATCAAACTTCACTTTAACTTCTTCAAAGATCTTCAGTTTCTTCTTTAAGGGCTGCAGAGATTTCTGGAGCTCCTTCCTGTGTTGTTGTGCAGCTTCATCGATGGGTCTGATTGTGTGGTCAGTGTGTTTCTCTGAATCTCTGCAGATGTGACACACTGGCTGCTGATGGTCCAGACAGAAGAGTCTGAGTTTCTCAGAGTGCAGACTGCAGAGAGCCTCTGGAGATCTCTGATCTCTCTCCAGTAAGAAGGTCTCACACAGGTTCTTTAACACCAGGTAACAAGGGGGATTTCTTCTTGAAGATTCTATCTTACAAACTGGACACTCTCGTGTTGGTTTCCCCGTCCACCAGTTCTTCAGACAGGCTTTACAGAAACTGTGGCTACAGGACAGAAGAACAGGATCTCTAAAGACTTCCCGACAGACCGGACAGCAGAGATCTTCCTCTGACCTGGAAGCCATGTTGTCTCTCTGAGTGAAGCTGAAAACACAGCAGACAGGAAGTACAGTCAGTCATGGCTCCCCTCCCCCTCCTCTACTGACTTCACTGAAATTCACTTTGAGTGATGTTTGGAGACTCACCTTCAGGGGGTGGAGGGTCCGCAGGTTGAAGCAGCAGTGTTGTAGTTTCCACTTTTCTCTCCTGTAGCTGAACTCAGAGGAAGTTGTTAGTTTGGTCTGAACGTGAATCTGATCGTCTGTTTTTCAGTCCGTCTGTCTCTCTGCAGTGACGGAGAATAACAAACTGTTTCCTGGTTTGTCCTCTGATAAATGATGCTGCTCCACCTGTAAAAAAGGGGTGTGTTACAGATTTAAATTGGAGGTTATTTAAAGTAGGGACAAAAACAAAAAGCTCCTTTTGTTGTTTCAATTCAATGAGCTTGTAGTAATCCTGTCAGCTGCATATAGGAAACACATTGTTTGTCTTGTTTTACATTGTACGCAGTGTACCTTCATCTAAATACTTGTTAAGTTTTCCGTCTAACTGAAACACTCCCTTTAAAACCTGTATTTTACATCCTGTTAGCAATTACCTTACCGAGCCAAATTATGCTGCATGCTAAATGTTAACATAGGTAGCTCTGTTTTCTAATCCTGCACCGTGCAGAGTGCTTAAAGTCAGCACTTAACCTGCTCAGAGTCCCTGCTCAGATTGAACTGTCATTCCCAGAAATGGGTTGATTACAGAACCCTCTACAAGAGTCAGGGTACATTTTGTGTGATCATCGCAACGGTGAAAAGTCATAATAAAGAGTAATAAGTCAGATCTATACACAGGCTTCAGACACAGGTTTCAGGTTACAGTATTTGTTCAAAGGGTTTGTTTATCACAAATTATTTTACTGTGGCACACCCAAAACCTTTCCATAAAGAGGAACACGCTGCAGCTTCAGAGGTGATGCTAATGTAAAAACACAAATAGGCCAAAACACATGCAAATGAAGAACCATGAACCCAGAATCACACGAGATTCTGTCTGTAGAGAAAGTTAGCAACTCATGGCTAAAATCACTATGACAGTCTGATCAAGAAGAATACCGCCCTGTGTTATTACTTAATGTCCAGCTCTGGCCTGAGGACAAGCAGAGGATGTTGTCAAACCATGACTAACCTTGCTAACAGCACAACACCCAGGGATGAATTACTTATAGCTCCACTTCTAATACTCCCCCTCCTCTCTGAGTGCTGTGGAGGAGATTAGCAATGGAAGACCTGTTGAAGGCAAATAGTTAATTCCAAATGCTTTGAATCCTTCAACACCTTTTATTTCCTGTTAGCAACAAAATTGATTTGATTGCATTATTACTTTTTATGTAGTGTCAGATAGTGTCAAATAATATAAAACTGTTTCCTGGTGTCTCTCTTAGTCTCATTCTACAAACACCAGCCACTCCTCATCAGCTCACCAGTAATTGGTTCAACTTCATTTTATCTCAACAGGACGGGACATTTTAACCCTAAAGTAGCCCAGCAAATATTGTTCAGTTCAGATATCATGGAACATTTATCTATTAAAGGTGGGGTAGGTAATTTTGGAGAAACCAGCTCGAGTGCGCTAGAATTTGAAAATACACAGCCGGAAAAAATCTGCCACTTCCTTACAGAGCCCCTCCTCCAACACACACGAACGCGCACATGACCAATGAGGGCACGAGATAAGTTTGTGCACAGATGGAAGGCTGACAGGCAGGTAGGCCATCCAGTTATTTTAGCCGGGCCGGCTAAAATGATTAGTCGTGCTTTTTACAGTATTACAGCTTCCACAGATGACATTTTTTTATGGAATTATTGTCAAAGCACTTAAGATATTCATTGCTATCGGGATGTTAAGAGCATTCCATGGAATATAACAAAAAGTGTATCTCGAGCTCAAACTTACCTACCCCACTTTTAAGTGCTGCAAGACTTTAAAATCCACAAAAGAATAAGCTTAGTTTTTATGGATTTGCACGTTTGCCTACATTTAAAAAGGATTGTTGTTAGTCACTTTAATTTTGAGGTCAGGTACGTTTTTTATCTGCAGTGATGGAGACATTACAGTCAGGTGGACCCCCACATGTTCACCTCTTTTCTGGCGCAATGCTTTATGATGCGCCATGAAGTTAACAAATGATGAATAATGCATTGGACGATGATGAACATGTATTACATAAACAGTTAATGCTCTCTTTTCCTTGTTAATCACTGCTGTTGAAAATATTCATCTGGCTGCTACTTAAAATTATTTCACTACTTAGTAATTATTTATCTATTTACCTAATATATCATATTCCAATAACTTGCTACATGCAACTCTTATCTACTCTTATTGCACTATTATATATATATATATATATATATATATATATATGCAATATTTCACTTTTTAAACTATTTTTCTTTTTGTATTTACTTGCACTATATTTCTGTTTATCTGTTTTATTGTGTTGCTCTGTTGGAGAAGCCTGTGACCTAAGAATTTCATCGGCATAACTGCAATGTAGCTATGTACGTATGACAAAATAAAGAACCTTGAACCTTGAGATAGACAACCCCTGGATTCACAGTAAATCCACACTGAAAAGATTGTTCATACAATCAGGTTACCAGCAATGGTAAAGCCCCTAAAATCTTTAAAGCAGGTTTCAACAGGTATTGAGTGGTGTTAGAGTCACACTCACCTTCAGGGGGTGGAGGATCAGCAGGTTGAAGCAGCAGTGTTGTAGTTTCCACTTTTCTCTCCAGTAGCTGAACTCAGAGGAAGTTGTTAGTTTGGTCTGAAGGTGAATCTGATCGTCTGTTTTTCAGTCCGTCTGTCTCTCTGCAGTGACGGAGAATAACAAACTGTTTCCTGGTTTGTCCTCTGATAAATGATGCTGCTCCACCTGTAAAAAAGGGGTGTGTTACAGATTTAAATTGGAGGTTATTTAAAGTAGGGACAAAAACAAACAGCTCTTTTTGTTGTTTTACTTCAATGAGCTTGTAGTAATCCTGTCTGCTGCATATATAAGGCAGACATTATTGTTTATCTTGTTTTACATTGTAAGCAGTGTACCTTCAACTGGATACTTGTTAAGGTTTCCGTCTAACTGAAACACTCCCTTTAAAACCTGTAGATTACATCCTGTTAGCACGTACCTGACCGAGCCAAATGATGCTGCATGCTAAATGTTAACATAGGTAGCTCTGTTTTCTAATCCTGCACCGTGCACAGTACTTAATGTCTGCACTTAACCTTGTCCCTGCTGCAGAGTCCCTGCTCAGATTGAACTGTCATTCCCAGAAATGAAATTACAAATCAGTGGGTTGATTACAGAACCCTCTACAAGAGTCAGGGTACATTTTGTGTGATCATCGCAACGGTGAAAAGTCATAATAAAGAGTAATAAGTCAGATCTATACACAGGCTTCAGACACAGGTTTCAGGTTACAGTATTTGTTCAAGGGGTTTGTTTATCACAGATCATGTTACTGCGGAAGACTTTTCTTTTTGCCGCTGCTTTTAATTGAAACTGAGCGGTTGTGTAACCTTAAAGAAAGGCATCAGTAAAATGGAACTTCTGTGTGAACTATTCATATCTTAAACTGCACTGTAACTTTTTATTCATGTACTTTTTTATTCATGTACTTTTTATTAATGTATTTTTTCTTTTAATGTTTCTTTTATTATCTTTTCTTTTTAATGACAGTTTTTAAATGCCTTTGTCTGAATGTCTTTCATTTTTGTAAAGCACCTTGAATGGCCTTGTGTTGAAAGGTGCTATATAAATAAACTTGCCTTGCCTTACTGCGGCACACCCATGCTAACACAACACGCTACAGCCCAAAACCTTTCCATAAAGAGGAACACGCTGCAGCTTCAGAAGTGATGCTAATGTAAAAACACAAATAGGCCAAATCACATGCAAATGAAGAACCATGAACCCAGAATCACACAAGATTCTGTCGGTAGAGAAAGTTAGCAAGTCATGGCTAACATCACTATGACAGTCTAATGGGAGATCAAGGAGAATACCCCCCAGTGTTATTACCTAATGTCCTGAGGGTGCTCAGGGAGAACAACTTGGACACTAAACTGCTGGAGACCTTCTACCACTCGTCCATCCAGAGCCTGATGGCATACTGCGTTACAGTACGCCAGCTGCACCGAGGCAGACAGGAAGAGGCTCCAGAGAGACATTTCACAGGTAACAGGTATTCCTTTGTGTGTGTGTGTGTGTGTGTGTGTGTGTGTGTGTGTGTGTGTGTGTGTGTGTGTGTGTGTGTGTGTGTGTGTGTGTGTGTGTGTGTGTGTGTGTGTGTGTGTGTGTGTGTGTGTGTGTGTGTGTGTGTGTGTGTTGGCTCTGGGTCAGGGAACCAGCTGATCCCACTGTTTTACAGAGACACAGTGTGGACAGTTGTCAGTAACATTGATTTACATTGCAATCAGGAGGTAAACTTACCTTGTTCTAATTTGTACATTATTTCCTCAGAAAATATTGGTTATAATGTCCATGTGGTTTTGTTCAGTCCTTCCAAATCATCGTGATCCTGACATAACGTCAATATAGGATGAATTGGGAGTGAGAATGTAAACACTAATAAACAAAACTCTAGATAACTTTGTGGGTAGGAGTTGATTCGTAATTTTCAATTTTAGTCATTAAAAAAGTGGCTGGGTAAAATCTGATACCACAATTGATGTTTGCCGCCCCCTCTGCAGCAAACAGCAAGTCACTAAAACACCAGGCAGACACAGGAAAAATGTCCCACTGCACTTCCTGAAATAACGTCTCTACTCCACTACTCCTGTGACGCCTTAAGTGTGTGTCTGCGGAACTGTCACAACTTCACTGTGATGGGTCTGGTAGTCGTGTTAGGAGGACAGTAGACTCAGAGACAGACCATCCCCACACTTTAGATCTGTGCCGGCGCTGGACGCAGGGTGACAGCAGTCACCATGATTGCTCCAAGGAGTATAAACCTGTCAGCTTCACTTCTTCATCTCTTCCCTTCGCCCACTGCTCAGTGAGGAAGTGTCCTGCAGACATCTTTGGAGCTGCCTTAGCGCACAGGAAACGTTAAGTTGGGAGTGTCAAGCTTTGCTAGGAAGATTCAGTCTGGCGAAAAGTGGAAGAGCTTCTTGTTTTTAAATTGTGATTTTAAAGGATAAGTCAGGCTTCTTATAAAAATATGATTGTGTTAATGTTAAACTGCACATCATACAACCCTTTAATGTTTGTTTTTATCAGAGGACTGAAATGGCTTGTTTATTCAATCTGGTTTGCATTATTTTCTTAAGCTTCTGCAGGATGTAATTATGTTTGCCCATTGTGATGTCTTATCAATCTATTATTGTATTCTCTTTTGAATTTCTGATCATTATTGTCAGCTTTTCTCTAGGAAATTGCATTTAGAGGCAAAGAAAACATCCTGATATGAACAAGTGTTTTCTTTGGGAATTAGTATTTTCTAAATGTCACAGTGTCTCAGTGTTGTCAAGGCCCAGTGCTTTGGTCTCTGCTGATCCTAATTGGCTCTTGTTTCCTGTTCCTGATGTGAGTGATCCAGCTCGTGTATCTGCCTGTCACCACGTCCCCCTAAAGCCCTTGTCAGCTCTCAGCAGCTTTCAGTGAATTTTCAAATAAAATGCCAACCGCTGGCCCCAATTTCAGCAGACACGTGCCCTCAATCTCAGGTTAGAGGCAGGCTCGGTCCCACAACATAAAGAAGCATTGACTTCTGAAAAGAGCAAAAGGCTTCATCTTCTTCCCTTCCAGCAGACTTTCACATACTCTGAGAACAAACACAAACATACACAAACTTAACTTCCGTAACATGATGATATCACTACGTAACACTTGTGATTATATTGGCTATAGCGCTCCAACACATTGTACGTGATAGGCTAAGGGGCGGGACATCTCTAAGCAGTTGACCAATCACAACAGAGCCGGCCAGCTAACCAATCAGAGCAGACATGGCTCTGAACTTTTTTTTGAACTTCAAATACAAATGTGAACCTGAAAATGAGCATAACAGGGTCCCTTTAAAACTGTAAAAGGCACACAGTTCTTGTTCGCCCCTGGAGACCAACTGATGCCGGATTGTTGTCGCAGATACCAAAGATATTACTTTATTTTATACCATTGAAACACAACACACAACATTTTTGAAAAATATCCTTTAAATCAATATTTCAATTCAAACCACGATCAAGAGTCACTGTTTTCTTAAGGACAAACTATGAATCATCTCCAGCATTTCTTAAGCGTTTCATTCCAAATGTCTTTTGTCTGGGGTCGCTGGTGTGGTGAAACATTTACTTTCCCTATTGTGGATTTCATGAGAAGTCACCTAAATAAATGATAATAAAATAAGAAACCATGCTACTTTCCTCTCTGTTACCCCCCAGCATCCCATGCAAATGGATGTCATGGTGTCCAGTGTGTAGGCCTACATGAAGTGAATTATGTATCGTCTCATTTCAAGCATGAGTTCATCAAGCAAAAAGACAAGAAAACATGCTGCTAGAGTTGGGAATTAACTGAAGGAAAAACTAGTAGTCTGGGCTTTATTATTCACGATGGGTGAAATTGTGATTTAAATTGTACTATACACAAGCACATGTGCTACACAACGCGGGCCACCACACACACATACACACACCTGGATGAAAGAATGGGATGGCATGATGCTTCCTTTCATTTGTTTTTAATGTCGGTTGTCGGTCATTGTGCCGGGGCAGTGCAGCGGAGGCCCAGATTGAGAAACAAATAGAAATCAGAAGCCAGTTGTGTGGGGAGCGCCTCGGGGTGTTATTAATTTCCTCTTAACTTTCCCATTTTTTCACTCCCCCTGTCTCTGTGGTGGCGGTGTGCAGAGAACGACAGCCACAAAATGGTGTTAGCTCCCAAATGAAATCTTGGGCACAAACACCTTAGAGCAGGCTGCCTGCTGGCCGCCGCTGGATGCAGTGCCCTTGAGAAACAAATCCAGACACAAAACATTTTGTTAGCTCTCTGGACAGCCTCCAATAAAGCTACACAGAAAAAAAGCTCAGTCTTTATCTATCTGGCAGGAACACATCTGTTTTCAAAAGAAGAAAAAAAGGAAGAAAGTAAAAGAAACAAAAGTACTTAAGCACTTGTCTGTTCTTGTTGCACTTCAATGCTTTAGTTGTTTTGTTTTTAGGAATAACAACTTAAAGGCTTTCTTAACAGACTTAGTTTTCTTATCACATGCTTCAACACAATACTGCAGCTTTATGTAGAACCTGTAGGCTGGAAAGGCGGCTCTAAATTGTTTATTGTTCCCTTCTTATTGATACCAAATGATTGGCACTCATCTGGACGAAAGTAGGAAAACGTTTTCGTATGCTTCATAAACTATAGCGTTAATGCCTGTTCCGATTGAACACATTTGAAGACATGGCGAAAAGCCAGCCGTCATATAGATTGTGAGAACGACACACATTCTGGACATTCTCTCATCAAAGGTCTCCATGGTGTTGTACACACAAACAGAGAAACACATCCAAACCCTGCTTTCTTTCACAGCTCAGCACACACGGTCCATCGCCACATTTCAGATTCAGTTTTTTCTGGTTTGTTGCAACTATGTATGGCACCAGAACCCCAATTTCATTGTTGAAATGGTGTCTCAGATGTTGTTCTGTGATCCGACAAGCACTTTGTTTTAAGCTAACTGAGCCTTAAGTAACCCATCTCTCATCCTGGCCACATATTCAAGCTCCTCCTGGGTATCGTTCATCTGCTTTCTGTCAGACTTTAGGACTCCAGTGGCCAAATACAATTTCTTCAGCGTGTTCTGGGTCATCCCTGGGGTCTGATCCTGGTTTGTTCAGGGTTGCTAAATCACCTTCTTCTTATAATCACTTAAGAAAGACAACATTATATGCTGTTTCCTTTATGCGAGCTGGA